CTCTCGCCTCTGCACGCACAGATACACGTCTCCTTATCTGTGCGTGTCCCCGTCCCCTATGTCTCTATCCCTGCACGCACGCATGTACCCATGTATCACTGTTTGTCCCCTCGTATGTATCTATGCTCTTCACCTGCACGCATGTATGTATGTATGTATGTATGTATGTATGTATGTATGTATGTATGTATGTATGTATGTATGTATGTATGTATGTATGTATGTATGTATGTATGTGTGTGTGTGTGTGTGTGTGTGTGTGTGTGTGTGTGTGTGTGTGTGTGTGAGTGAGTGAGTGAGTGAGTGTGTGTGTGTTTGTTTGTGTGTGTGTGTGTGTGTGTGTGTGTGTGTATGTATGTATGTACGTATGTATGTACATATGTCTGGCTGTGTGACTGTATGGATGGATGGATGGACGGGTGGATGGATGGCTGGATGATTACACATGTATATATAATTTAAGGTTGAGTAACATAAGTGTGTTTTTGTATGTACTTTTGTGTGAGTACGTGTGTGTGTATGCATGTATGTATGTATGTATGTATGTATGTATAAAACTGTTAGTGTTGAAAGGTTGGTAGGAATGTAGAAATTCAAAAACTTCAAGACATGATCTTGGGAACTGTAATTATTTTTCTCCATGACAAAGTAATAGTCTACTTGACCCCACCCTTCTGGAACCTTTTGACCTAGTTTGCACATCCAGGGCCTCCACTTTATTCGGGACTATATGTGCTTTATGCACGAAAGATACATAGATACACGAAAGATCAGACAAACTTTTGCTGTGCTGTGACCTTAACTACAAACGCCAGCCCCCCATTTGGTACTTACTTGCTTGATGACCTAGTAAACAACACGTTGGCGCTATTCGTTTCTCTGTGGGGGTCACATTTGGATCGCTACGACGTTATTATAAAAAGACCATTTAAACTAATTTAGTTGGTGGTTGGCTGATGGTGCTCTGCTATGGTTTGATCTTTCTTTACCATCAAATATCTGTTGTCCTTATTTATCGTGTTCTTTCATTGTTTTTTTTTAAACTCATATGTAACACCTCTAATCTTCAGCACTTATATGACCTAACTGTGTTAAAAGCGTCGTAAGCCTCTTTCGAAAACAATAAACCAAAACATTTTATTCCATTTTACTAATGTGCAAAATAATGGGAAAAAGATGGCCTCTCGGCGTTTTCCTCGTATCATTAATTTGTCACTTCTCTCTTTTTGTAGCGAGTTTGGTGTTCTGGAACCGATTTAAGACAAGGTGAAATAGCTGGAATGGGAAGGAGAAATTGTTCTGAAAGCTTGAGAAAGGACAAAGCATCGGTTTTCATTTCAGCAGACAGGATGAAGTCAGCAAAGTGCATCAGTACAGTGTCAGCTTGACATAATCCCCCCCCCCCCTCAATCTCTGTCTCTCTCTCTCTCTCTCTCTCTCTCTCTCTCTCTCTCTCTCTCTCGCTCTCACTCATTCACTCGCTCATTCTCTCTCTCTCTCTTTCTCTATTTTGCGTTCTTTCCTTTTTATTTTCTCCCTGTTTTTCTTTTGATATTAAAGGCAAGGAAGTATTCTATTTTAAACAAATATAAGAATGTGGAAACGTTGCGGGTTTTTAAAATAAAATTAGAATTGAGGGAATCGGTTACTGCTTAGAGAAGGATTAATAAATGATGATACCAACGAAGTAAACCCCAGTGCAGTCACAATTTTCTAAGTCGTCCTTATCTGATTTGATTAACTGTTTGACTCGTTCCACTTTTTGTACCAAAACAATTGACTGAAAAGGGTGGCAGTCACACACTAAAGGCACATTTCCAATGACACATGTCGAAGGACAGAGCGGTTGTGGTTTATAAAACGTCGTGATCAAAAGGTAAAAGCACTCAAGTTTTTTGTTTAATACTATTAATAAGATTATTATTATCATTATTAACATTATATCATCATCATCATCATTATTATTATTATTATTACTATCATTCTTCTTCTTATTATCATCATCATTATTATTATCATTATTATTACCTAAACAATAATAACAATGATAGTAATAATAATAATAATAATAATGATAATAATAATAATAATAATAATAATCACTTATATAACGCCAACTTCCTTTTGAGTCTAGGCCT